AGGCAATGATTTCAGGAACTTTCTCTATAATCCATCAATCACTCTCCCTAGGGTGTTTCCCTCGAGTGAAAGTTGTCCATACTTCCACCAAGTATGAAGGACAAGTCTACATTCCTGAGGTTAATTACCTGCTGATGTTGGCTTGTGTTGGGGTTACTGCTGGTTTCAAGACCAGTAACAATATCGGCAATGCATATGGTAACCCACACAACTTTGCATAATTTACACATCTGTTCAATGTGCAAATACACGCACACACATACATACATATTAGTAATGACTCTTGACATCATCTTTCTATAGGGATTGCGGTGATATTTGTAATGAGTCTGACATCATCTTTGTTGGTTGTCATCATGATAATGATATGGAAAACCAACATCCTTTTGTAATTGCCTACGTTCTTACCATCGGTTCCGTGGAGCTAATCTATTTGACTTCTGTTCTGTACAAATTTGATCAGGGAGGATACTTGCCATTGGCCTTTGCTGCAGTTTTAATTGCAGTGATGTATATTTGGAACAATGTTTATCGGAGAAAGTACTATTACGAGCTCGATCATAAGGTTTCTTTTGAAAAGTTGAAGATGATAACTAGATAACGCCAAATTTCAGTAAGAATTCCAGGACTTGCCATGTTTTACTCAGAGCTTGTTTCATGGTATCCGTCCCTCTTCGAGCATTATTTTGGAAAATGCTATCAGCATTGCACTCTGTCCTTTTCTCATCCTCCATCAAATCACTTACCAATTTAGCAAGGTTTCAATTGAAGAAAGATTTCTTTTTCGAAGAGTGAACCAAAGAAGCCAATGTCTTCCGTTGTGTCGTTAGATATGGGTATTACAGATGTGCACAATGAAGCGAGACAGTTTTGAGAAGACTTTTCTTAGAAAGATTGAAAGGAGTTTATCCAAAAAGACACTTGGTTAACTCAAATGCAAGCCTAATATGGGGCAACAAACTGAAAAGGGGCCGAATTGGAAGATGAATTTGCAGAAACAACAGGATGAAACATCGATCAAGAATATAATGCAAGTGGGAGAAGGTGATCAAGAAGAGAAAATACGTAAAGATATTGAATTAGTGGAGCAAGCATGGCAAGCTGGTGTTGTTCACTTGGTAGGTGAGACTGATGTGATTGCAGGCAAAGGAGCTGGTATAGGAAAGAAGATTTTGATAGATTATGCTTACAATTTTCTAAAGAAACTTTTGAGGCGAACTGATAAAGTGTTCGAAATTCCTCACAACCAGTTGCTTAAAGTTGGTATGACTTATGAGCTTTAGAACATTTGATGGAATGTGGGGTACTGGACTTGAGGAATACATGGTTGCAGCTCCATTGAAGACCTGAAAAAACTTGTTACTTGTTTATCCTTCCAGTAGTCTAAAGGGAGAAATTAGGAGTAAAAGAGTAGTTCTTGTTTTAAATAATAAATAAACTCCACAAGGCAAATGGGAAGCATGTTAATTATGGGGTAATATTTATATGTACTTTGAAATGTTTTACTTATATTGTAAATATATATTGTATGTGTGCAATAGTATTATGAATATCAATCCAGTTTTATCAATTTACAAGTTACTTTAAGCAAGATTTGAATATCGAAACAGCGGTCCATCTTTTTATTGTTAAACTATTTTTTTTTCATGTGTTTTGCAAGTAATTTTCCCATGAAAAATTTGTATTAACTTCTTTTTTATATTAAAAAATGAATGAATACGAACTCAATTCTTTAAATAAAAAATATATAAATCAAATCATTAAGTTAAATATTGAACCATGCTTTTAATTTATTAATATCAATAAGATTATGTAGGACAAAATTAACACAACTCATTGATAAAAAAACATTGAAAAAAAAGAAATAAAAAACTAAATATAAGATATATATCAACAACTTCTTTAATTTGAGTTAAAAAAAGTAAACTATTGTCATCTATGAAGAATATATGTATATTAAACAAATAGTATTTTATAAATATTAAAACAAAATAAAGAAAAAATTGTAAATTAATCAAATTTACTAAATATTTGCACATTGTTTGATTCGGGGATCATTTGAATCCCACTGACATTTCGTTTCAGTGCAGTTTTAATCCTTTTTTTATTCAATAACACTATT